CTTGAAAACAACTGTGCTTATTGAAATAAGCAAGAAGCTGTTTACTAGATGAAATGTCTAGAATAAGCAAATTCAGGGCAACAGAAAGTACATTAGATGTTAATAGGGGCTAGGTTGTGGGGACAATTGGAGTTATTGTTTAATGTTACAGTTGTTGTTTGGGGTATGCAAATGTGTTGGGAAATAGATAGTAATAATGTAGAATATTATGAATATAATTACTGCCATTGAATTGCAATGTAAAATAATCAGGGACTGGCAATGTGGGCCAGCAGATGAAGCTGCAGCCTGCGATGCCAGCATCCTACATTCGATGCCAGCATCCCATATTCAAGCTCTGGTTCGAGTCCTGTCTGCTCCGTTTTCAATCCAGTTCCCTGCTAATGTGTCTGGGAAAGCAAGGAAGATGATACAACTGTTTAGCTTTCTGCCACCCATAAGAGACACCCCATTGGATTTTCTTCTGGCTCCTGGCTCCTTGCTTCTGGCTTCAGGCTGGCCCAGCCCTGGCCACTGCAGCCATTTGGGGAATGAACCAGTGCCCTTCAAATGTTGAATAATTTTTTAAATTATTAAAATACAAATTTATTACATATGTTTTTAATATAAAATGTAAAAGAAAACAAAGATCAAATACTGATAAATGTGAAGGTTTTTTTTTTACTTTAGTTGTATTGGACTGTTTTATGGATCTATCTTCATGCTTAGTACCACATTGTCTTGACTGCTCTCACTTTTTAGCAACTTGAAATCAGGAAATGGGAATTCTCTTACTTTGTTGTTTATAAGGTTGCTTGTTCTGTGTCCCTTGAATTTCCCTATGAGTTTTAGAATCCTCGTCAATTTTTCTTTTTTTTTTTAAGACTGATTGATTAGATAGGCAGAGGGACAGAGACAGAGAGAGCCTTCCATCCTCTGATTCACTCCTCAGATGGCCACAACAGCTGAGGCTGGGCCAGGCCGAAGCCAGGAGCCAAGAACTCTTTAGGTCTCACTTCTATGTGGCAGGGACTCAAGTACTTGAGCCAGCATCTGTTCCTTCCAAGGCATATTAGTAGGGAGCTGGATCAGAAGCAGAGTAGCCTGAAATTGAACAGCACCACGCCCAACCTGGAACAAAATTCTTAAGCCCTGCTTTCTCACTCCTAGTTATGAGACTTTCGAAAAATTACTTGTCTTTTCCAAAACCATTGTTATAGAATTTTAAGTGAGAAAATACATGTAAAATATGACATAATGCTTAACACATGGTAAATGCTAAATACAGATTTAGCGTACCTAATCCAAAAAAATCTGAAACCCGAAGTTCTCCAAAATCTGAAATATTTTGAGTACTGCAACATGACACCACAAGTGGAAGATTCCATACCTGGCTTTGTGACATAGCAAACAAAGTACAGACACAGTTAAAATGTATAAAATTACCTATACGTAGTTCATATGAAACATAAATTATGAGTCCCATCCCCAAGGTATCTCATTATGTGTAGGCATATATTCCAAAACCAATAAACACAATACAAAACACTGCTCTTCTCTTTCATTTTTTATAAAGTATATTCAATCTGTGTACTGCTTAGGCTTAGTATTGATACTGTTAATACCATTGTCACTGCCAGTGTAATAATATTTTTATGCATTGGCTAGAATAAAATAAAATTCTTCCTTCAGAGTATACTCTTTCTTCATCAATGAGAATGAATTTGTAATGGAAAAGAAAATTGTAATGTGTAGTGATTTATTTTATTATCTAAGCCTGAGTATAGTGTTTGTGGAATCTTGATAGTTTATTAAACTTACAGATATTTGAAATCTGTGTTCAGTGGTACCATGAAAATAGAAATGTAATATTCAGAAATCAATTCAAAGGTCAAAACTATGAATTCGTAAAGTTACCATTATTTTAGTTGTAATCAGGCAATAGAACTTTTATCTTCTTTCCCAGTTCTGTGTTTAGTATAAGGTAGATGCTGTGCAGGTTTCTTCTATTCCTAGCCATTTGATCATCTAGTTATGCTGTTACTTCTTTAACAAAATATTCATATGTATACTTTGTATATCCCATATTCCATTTTAATACAAGTAGAAATATGTAAAGCCAAATAGAGGGCTTTAACCCACATTTTTAACAGCCAAATCCATTGTTTTGTTTTGAAGTTGATGCAAGAATACTAGTTTGGGGGCCGGCCTGGTAGTATAGCAGATTAATTTGCCTTCTGTGACCCAAGCATTCTAAATGGGCACTGATTCCTATCCTGGCTGTTCCATTTCCGATGCAGCTCCCTGCTAATGCACCTGGGAAAGCAGCAGCAGATGGCCCAAGTGCTTGGGCCCCTGCACCCACATGGGAGACCTGGATTTAGGGAGTGAAACAGTGGATGGAAGATCTCTCTCTCTCTCTCTTTTTAATTAATTAAAAAATATTAATCTGGACACCTACTTTCCTGCACTCTTCCCAGAACTGGATTCCAGTAAAGTAGTATTTGAAGTACTTATTAGCGTTAATAAAGGTAAAAAAAATAAGTTATTTATTGAAGTAGAATTAAAGTTTATTGTAACAACTTTGTTGTTATTTTTCTAACAAACTGTTTCTGTAATCTACTATTCCATTTTTGTAACAATTCTTGTAGACTGCTTTAATTATAACCAATCTCTTTTACAGTGAGAGGTAATTTTTAGATTTTTTATTTTGAATTAACTTCAAACTTTCTGAATTTCAGTTCTAGAGTTTTCAATAGTATTTTGCCTCTAATCTCTTCATTGATATTCCACCAATCTCAACTTCTAGTTGAGTAGCTTTTATAATTGAAAGTTTAGCAAAATTTTATTGTCAATTTTAAACCTCTTTTAAGTTAAACTTATGTAAGTTTATATTTTAGTAACTTGTAGTTCTATTCTTTTACTATTTATGTTACTATCTTCTTGTTTACTACATCAATAGTATAATTTATCTGAAGTGAATTAAAATTTCTTAATCTATGCACTTTTTGATCATAGAACTTTAGGTATATGAAACAGTACTTGAACATATGAATAATAGGCTTATTACCCAGAATAAATGGTAATAAATATTAGCAAGTTTAAATGTAATTTCATTTAATAATAATCTTTTGCTTGGATTTATATTTATTTTTAAAAGATAAAATATATTATATTTGGGGGAGAAGATATCCTAATGATTCTGGAATGTTTAAGTGGCTTGTATATGATATTCGAGTGCTTTCCCAGGTACATTAGCAGGAAGCTAGATATGAAGTGGAGCAGTCAGGAACTGAACTGGTACTCATATCGGATGCTAGCATTTAAGGCAGGGCTTAACTTGCTGTGACACAATGCTAGCCACAAGTAACTACAATATAAAAAGAAATAGAATATGAAAATGACTTTAATAATGTATCATTTTTCATGAACTTTTTGAAGCTCCCTTGTTTTCTGGTTCCTTTAAAACCCGGTATATCCAGAATGTTTTTGAATATGTAATCAGTTGTTTGAAATTTTTCTTCTTTTCATACTAATTATTCACAATTTGATACATATTTTATACCTGTGGATATTTCTTTTAAGTCCTTTAGTTACAAGTGTTTTCCATCAAGAAAAAGTACTGAATGTCCATCTTTTACAAAAAAAAATTTAGTTATTATTTGAAAGGCAGAGTTACAAGGACACAGAGACAGAGGACACACAGATCTTCCATCCACAGAAATCAGTTCTCAAATGACCGCAACGACCAGGAGCAAATGAGCTTCATCCAAGTCTTCCACAAAGTTACAAGGGCCCAATCACTTGGGGCATCTTCCACTGCTTTCCCAGGCACATTAACATGAAGCTGGATACAAAGTGGAGCAGCGTACATGAACTAGCATCCCACAGGCGGCAGTTTAACCTGCTATGCCACAATGCTGACTCCCTGGATGTCTATCCTAATTTCTTTTTTGTTTAAATAATAGAGACATTTACAAGAATTAGATAACATTGGCATGCCTGGCATATAATCTTATATAAATCGTAGTTAGTATCTTCAATATATTTGGAACAGGTAAACATTTTATGTAATATCATTGTCTTGCAGCAAAGAAAATCCTAGGGATTAAATTATAACCTCCAAATTCTTTTCTATTCCCTTGGACAGTGCTAAATAAACACATCTGAGTCTCTATGTATTTTTTAGAAGATACAAAATCAATATTGGTTCATAAATTATGACAAATATATCACACTGCTACTTGCTACTAAAAACAGGATAAATGGGAATATGTGGATTCACTACTTTTTGCCCAATTTTTTGTAAACCTAAAAGTACTCTTAAAAAGTACTTTTAAAAATAACGTCTGGGCCGGCGCCACGGCTCAATAGGCTAATCCTCCGCCTGCGGCACTGGCACACCGGGTTCTAGTCCTGGTCGGAGCGCCGGATTCTGTCCCCGTTGCCCCTCTTCCAGGCCAGCTCTCTGCTGTGGCCCGGGAGTGCAGTGGAAGATGGCCCAAGTGCTTGGGCCCTGCACCCGCATGGGAGACCAGGAGAAGCACCTGGCTCCTGGCTTCGGATCAGCACCACGCGCCGGCCGCAGCGGCCATTGAAGGGTGAACCAACAGCAAAGGAAGACCTTTCTTCCTGTCTCTCTCTCTCACTGTCCACTCTGCCTGTCAAAAAAAAAAAAAAAAAAAAAAAAAAAAAAAAAGATGTCTATGTCTGCTATTGATTCCTGATTAGTTTAGGGAGAATCCAATAGGAAAAGTGACATGTTCAGTAAGAGAATCAATAAGAGAAGTCTAGTTGTAGTTAAAAGTATAATGTTTCCTTTTTCAGTAGTCATTCATTATCTACTTCTTTTAAGCTAATAAATGGAAACTTAAGTACAAAATGGTTGTTTTCCACCCATAGTTATTGGGGTAGGCATTGGGAAATTATTGGTGGCACTCTGGTGCAAGTGGAGAAAAATTTCCTTAATTTTTTCATACACTGTTGCTGGTTTTGAGAATATCTTCTTCTCCTAATTTCAGGTTGGGTGGGACTATATCAGCATACAAGATAGTACCAGACGAAATAGAAGAAATCAAGGTATGGTATGGCGATTTTCACCTTTACAACGAGAGTATCCTCAAGGGGAAATGAGGGAAGAGTTGCTTTTTCTTTAAATTATTGAATTTGGGGGGTGTGTTAGGACATCATTTATTTCTTGGTAATCCTACTTGAATTAAAAGTATATATATGCCAGATAATCCTCGTCAGATTTTACCTGCCATTTGTAATGCATTTCAGAGAAATTTATCAGGAGAATCAAAAAGGAACACTTTTATATGCAGTTCATTAAAATCTACATAACAAAGCAACTATATATAAGCATTAATGTGCCTATTGGATATTCTTTTCATATCATTGCAATTCCTTTTCCTTATATGCCTTTACCAATTATAAGTAATATCAGTCTTTTAATAAATTGAAAGACATTGTTGATCTGCATTTCTGTCCAATCTGTTGAGCTAAATCTTGCCCAAAGTGAGAAGATTAGAAGTGAAGGCATTATCGCTCGTATGCTTCTGGAGATGGGGTATGTAATATGTTTTCTTCATATCCCAGAGCATTATAGATAGTTCCATTAGTAAGATCAGTAAGACCAAAAAATTAGAAAACATACATTTTAGAAACCAAAAAAATAGTTGACATGACACTTTTTTTTTAACTTTTATTTAATGAATATAAATTTCCAAAGTACAGCTTATGGATTACAATGGCTTCCCCCCCCCCCCATAACTTCCCTCCCACCTGCAACCCTCCCCTTTCCCTCTCCCTTCCCCCTTCCATTCACATCAAGATTCATTTTCAATTCTCTTTATATATAGAAGATCAGTTTAGCATATATTAAGTAAAGATTTCAACAGTTTGCTCCCACACAGAAACATAAAGTGAAAAATACTGTTTGAGTACTAGTTATAGCATTAAATCTCAATGTACAGCACACTAAGGACAAAGATCCTACATGAGGAGTAAGTGCACAGTGACTCCTGTTGTTGACTTAACAAATTGACACTCTTGTTTATGGCATCATAAACAAGAGTGTTTTGGCTTTCCATGCCTGTAATACTCTCATGGGCTTTTCAGCCAGATCTGTGTGCCTTAAGGGCTGATTCTTAGGCCAGAGTGCTGTTTAGGATATCTGCCATTCTATGGGTCTGCTGTGTATCTCACTTCCCATGTTGGATCGTTCTCTCCCTTTTTGATTCTATCAGCTAGTATTTGCAGACACTAGTCTTGTTTATGTACTCCCTTTGGCTCTTAGTCCTATCATTATGATCAATTGTGAACAGAAATTGATCACTGGGACTAGTGAGATGGCATTGGTACATGCCACCTTGATGGGATTGAATTGGAATCCCCTGGTATGTTTCTAACTCTACTGTTTCAGGTAAGTCAGCTTGAGCATGTCCCGAATTGCACATCTCTTCCCTCTCTTATTCCCACTCTTATATTTAACAGCGATCACTTTTCCGTTAAGTTTCAACACTTGAGAATAACTGTGTATTGATTACAGTATTAAACCAAAAGTATTAAATAGAACAAATAAACAAAAAAATACTAAGAGGGATAACGTATTAAGTTGTTCATCAACAGTCAGGGCAAGGGCTGATCAAGTCACCGTTTCTCCTAGTGTTCATTTCACTTTAACAGGTTTCCTTTTTGGTGCTCAATTAGTTGTCACCAATCAGGTAGAACATATGGTATTTGTCCCTTTGGGACTGGCTTATTTCACTCAGCATAATGCTTTCCAGATTCCTAATAGGGATCACTTTTCAGTTAAAATTTAAACACCTAAGAATAATTGTGTGTTAATTACAGAGTTCAACCAATAGTACTAGAACAAAAAAAATACTAAAATGGATAAAGTGTTACATTGTACATCAACAGTAAGGACAAGAGCTGATCAAGTCACTGTTTCTCATAGTGTCCATTTCACTTCAACAAGTTTCCGCTTTGATGTTCAGTTAGTTGTCGCCGATATTGTCCCTGTCGCCGATCAGGGAGAACATATGATATTTGTCCCTTTGGGACTGGCTTAATTCACTCAGCATGATGTTTTCCAAATTCCTCCATCTTGTTGCAAATGACCGGATTTCATTGTTTTTGACTGCTGTATAGTATTCTATAGAGTACATACCCCATAATTTCTTTATCCTGTCTACTGTTGATGGGCATTTGGGTTGGTTCCAGGTCTTAGCTATTGTGAACTGAGCTGCATTAAACATTAAGGTGCAGACAGCTTTTTTGTTTGCCAATTTAATTTCCTTTGGGTAAATTCCAAGGAGTGGGATGGCTGGGTTGAATGGTAGGGTTATATTCAGCTTTCTGAGGAATCTCCATACTGACTTCCATAGTGGCTTAACCAGTTTGCATTCCCACCAACAGTGGGTTAGTGTCCCTTTTTCCCCACATCCTCGCCAGCATCTATTGTTGGTAGATTTCTGAATGTGAGCCATTCTAACCAGGGTGAGGTGGAACCTCACTGTGGTTTTGATTTGCATTTCCCTGATGGCTAGTGATCCTGAACATTTTTTCAAGTACCTGTTGGCCATTTGGATTTCCTCTTTTGAAAAATGTCTATTGAGGTCCTTGGCCCATCTCTTAAGTGGGTTGTTTGTTTTGATGTTGTGGAGTTTCTTGATTTCTTTGTAGATTCTGGTTATCAACCCTTTATCAGTTGCATAGTTTGCAAATATTTTTTCCCATTCTGTCGGTTGCCTCTTCACTTTCCTGACTATTTCTTTTGAAGTACAGAAACTTCTCAATTTGATGCAATCCCAAATATTAATTTTGGTTTTGACTGCCTGTGTTTCTGGGTTATTTTCCAAGAAGTCTTTGCCCGTACCTATATCTTGCAGGGTTTTCCCAATGCTCTCTAGTAATTTGATGTTGTCGGGTCATAGATTTAAGTCTTTAATCCATGTTGAGTGAATTTTTGTGTAAGGTGAAAGGTAGGGGTCTTGTTTCATGATTCTGCACGTGGAAATCCAGTTTTCCCAGCACCATTTATTGAATAGACTGTCCTTACTCCAGGGATTGGTTTTGTATCCTTGATCAAATATGAGTTGGCTGTAGATGTTTGGATTGATTTCTGGTGTTTCAATTCTGTTCCATTGGTCTATGCATCTGTTTCTGTACCAGTACCATGCTGTTTTGATAACAACTGCCCTGTAGTATGTCCTGAAATCTGGTATTGTGATGCCTCCGGCTTTGTTTTTGTTGTACAAGATTGCTTTAGCTATTCGAGGTCTCTTGTGCCTCCATATGAATTTCAGCATCATTTTTTCCAGATCTGAGAAGAATGTCTTCGGTATCTTGATTGGTATTGCATTGATTCTGTAAATTGTTCCTGGGAGAATGGACATTTTGATGATATTGTTTCTTCCAATCTATGAGCATGGAAGATTTTTCCATTTTTTGGTATCCTCTTCTATTTCTTTCTTTAAGATTTTGTAATTTTCATCGTAGAGATCTTTAACGTCCTTGGTTAAGTTTATTCCAAGGTATTTGATTGTTTTTGTAGCTATTGTGAATGGGATTGATCTTAGAAGTTCTTTCTCAGCCATGGTATTGCCTGTGTATACAAAGGCTGTTGATTTTTGTGCATTGATTTTATATCCTGCTACTTTGCCAAAATCTTCTATGAGTTCCAATAGTCTCTTAGTAGAGTTCTTTGGGTCCCCTAAATAAAGAATCATATCATCTGCAAAGAGGGATAGTTTGAGTTCTTCCTTCCCAATTTGTATCGCTTTAATTTCTTTTTCTTGCCTAATATCTCTGGCTAGAACTTCCAGAACTATATTGAATAGCAGTGGTGAGAGTGGGCATCCCTTTCTGGTACCAGATCTCAGTGGAAATGCTTCCAACTTTTCCCCATTCACTAGGATGTTGGCTGTGGGTTTTTCATAGATTGCATTGATTGTATTGAGGAATGTTCCTTCCATACCCGGTTTGCTTAGAGTTTTCCTCATGAACGGGTGTTGTATTTTATCAAATGCTTTCTCTGCGTCTATTGAGATAATCATATGTTTTTTCTTCTGCAGTCTGTTAATGTGGTGTATCACATTGATTGATTTGCGAATGTTGAACCAGGGATAAATCCCACTTGGTCTGGATGGATGATCTTTCTGATGCGTTGTTGCATTCTATTGGCGAGAATTTTATTGAGGATTTTTGCATCTATGTTCATCAGGGATATTGGTCTGTAATTCTCTTTCAGTGCTGCATCTTTTTCTGGCTTAGGAATTAAGGTGATGCTGGCTTCATAGAAAGAATTTGGGAGGATTCCCTCTTTTTCAATTGTTCTGAATAGTTTGAGAAGAATTGGAGTTAGTTCTTCTTTAAATGTCTGGTAGAATTCAGCCATGAATCCATCTGGTCCTGGGCTTTTCTTTGTTGGGAGGGCCTTTATTACTGTTTCAATTTCTGTCTCAGTTATGGGTCTGTTTAGGTTTTCGATGTCTTCCTGGTTCAATTTATGTAAGTTGCATGTGTCCAGGAATCTATCCATTTCTGATAGGTTTCCCTGTTTGCTGGCATACAGGTCCGTGTAGTAATTTCTGATGATTCTTTTTATTTCTGTGGTGTCTGTTGTTGCGTTTCCTTTTTCGTCTCTGATTTTATTGATTTGGTTCTTTTCTCTTCTTTTTTTAGTTAGTTGGGCCAATGGGGTGTCAATTTTGTTTATTTTTTCAAAAAACCAGCTCCTTGTTTGGCTGATGTTTTGTAATTTTTTTTGGATTCAATCCTGTTGATTTCTTCTCTGATTTTAATTATTTCTCTTCTCCTACTAGATTTGAGTCTGGTTTGCTGTAGGTTTTCTAGATCCTTGAGGTGAATTGAAAGCTCATCTATTTTGTGCCTTTCCAATTTCTTGATGTAGGCACCTATTGATATAAACTTTCCTCTTAACACTATTTTGCTGTATCCCATAAGTTTTGGCATGTTGTGCTGTTATCCTCATTTACTTCCAGAAAATTTTTGATTTCTCTTTTAATTTCTTCTATGACCCAGTGTTCATTCAGGAGCATGTTGTTCAATCT